GTGTATGTATTGTGGATAACTTTTTTGTGTTGCAACAGGGCATAAACATTTCTGGAGGACAGAAGCAGAGGCTCAGTCTGGCTCGGGCTGTTTACAAGAAGGCTTCAATTTACCTTCTGGACGACCCCCTTTCTGCTGTGGATTCTCAGGTTGGCCAACACATTTTTGAGCAGGTCATTGGACCAAACGGCTTATTAAAAAACAAGGTACTAATTTCTCCCTCTCTCTTTAAGCCCAATATGGGTGCCTTTTCTTTCATGACTTTAAAGGATCCAGTATGTAGTCCTAAAATTATCCAGCTGAACATAAGGTCAGAGTTTCAAAAGAGGAACACAGCCATTTAGTGCTAAAATGAAGAAGAAGGAGCGAAGTTAAACTAGAATCCGCTGTTTAATGGTGCTTGAAACTGGGCATAGAAGATATACACACACATAACGCAAACTGATGCATGCCTAATATAGTTTGTGAACGGTGCACATGAATTTTAATCTTAAGAATTGTTTTACTAGATCTAACCAAGAGACCATCTCATCCAGCATTTTGTCTCCCAACAGCCACCAGCTACTACAGTTCCCATCATCCTTGATCAATGACCATGTTGGTTGGGACTGATGGGAGTTGGAGTCCAAAATGTCTGGATGACACCAGTTTGGGGAAGGGTATTGTAGCAAGAGCAGACTGAAGCAAATTCTCCCTTCTTCCCTCTAGTTGGCACTTGACAAAGACAGAGGCCTTTTCAGTGGTGGCTCCCTACTTGGGGAATGCTCACCTGATGCCATCATTGTTTGTTTTTAGGTGCCAGACTTTTGATCTTTAATTGGGAGGGCAGTTAGATATGCCAATGGGCTTAGTGGTGCTCATCATTAAGTGGGATATGTAGGATTCATTCTCTCTCTTTCTACACACACACACACACACACACACACACACACACACACATTTGGGGGAGTACTTTAGGGGTTATATTCAACTAAGTTCTATTCAGAGCAACCCGTTGAAATGAATGAACATGACTAAGTTAGGTTCATTAATTTCAGTGGATCTTCTCCGAGTAAAACTAAGTTGAATACCGCCCCTCCCTGTCTTGTTTTATTGCTGTTTTAATATTTGATTTCATTGTTTCTCGTTTGATGACCTGTTGCTTTGAGACACTTTGCTGTAAAGGGTGACAAATAAAATTGATAAGTATTATTATTATCGTCATTACACCAACAACAGTGATGAATACATTTGTTATACTTTGCTTGCCTTATACCGTATTGTGTCTTTGTATATTGGCCTGTTTTTTTTCTATTTGTGTCTGTTACTGTTGGTCAGCGGGTGGTGCTGTGGTCTAAACCACAGAGCCTAGGGCTTGCCGATTGGAAGGTTGGCGGTTTGAATCCCCGCGATGGGGTGAGCTCCCGTTGCTCGGTCCCAGCTCCTGCCAACCTAGCAGTTCGAAAGCACGTCAAAGTGCAAGTAGATAAATAGGTATCACTCCAGCAGGAAAGTGAATGGCGTTTCCATGTGCTGCTCTGGTTTCACCAGAAGCGGCTTAGTCATGCTGGCCACATGACCCGGAAAAACTGTCTGCGGACAAACGTCGGCTTCCTCAGCCAGTAAAGCGAGATGAGCGCCACAACCCCAGAGTCATTCGCAACTGGACTTAACTGTCAGGGGGGTCCTTTACCTCTACCTTTTACTATTGGCAGCAGGAAATCTTATTTGTATGGTACAGTGGAATCAAAGAGAACAGACACCACAAAATGATGGATTGTTTCTTTTCTTTCCAGACTCGTGTTCTAGTGACCAACACAATCCATATTTTGCCCAAAGTGGATAACATCATTGTTATAATGAACGGAACGATCTCTGAGAAAGGTTCTTACCATGAACTTCTGCAGAGACAATGGGCTTTTGCAGACTTCTTGAGGTCACACGACACAGATGAGAAAGAGGACCAGGATTTACAAGGTATTGCAAATCACAACGGATCATAATGCTTATGAGGCATCAGTAAAGAATCAGCCCCTGAAGTGTTTGTTAATTTCAGGCATTTCCCATGTTATTTTGGGAGCTATAGCAAAATCTGTCTCACACACATGCAGAAATTTTGAAACTTCTTAATTGCACAGGTACAGGAAGTGTTGAAATTGTCACCAAAGGACACATGGCCTGCCATGGAAAACTTGGAGGGTAAGTAATCGAGATAGTAAGTTATAGAAACTGCAAACCACACTTATCTGTGAGTAAGCTCCACTCAATCCAATGGGACTTACTTCTGAGTATCCGTAGTTAGGATTGCAGCCTCACGTCACATCCACACATACATTTAACACACCCTTGTATCACTTAAACAGCCATGGCTTCCTACAAAGAGTCCTGGAAACCGTGTCTGTAAAGGCTGCTGTCCTCACAGAGCTGCAGTTCTCAGCACCCTTAATGAACTATTGTTTCCCAGGATTCTCCATGTTTTAAGTGTGTGGTGTAGATGTGACCTCAATCATAAACGTGAGGCAATACCCGAAAGCTCTTTAAAGCTCAGCAAGAGCCCTTTCACTTATCTTAAGTATATTTTCACTCAGATGGTGCACAAGAGAATCCATGCTATTTTTTAAAGGGAGAAAATACCATTTGGGAAGTAGGGATCTTGGAGAATTCTGACAAGAATGGAAAAAGGAATAGAAACTGCCAGTGTTCACTTACCGTATTTTTCGCTCCATAAGGCGCACCTAGTTTTGGGAGGAGGAAAACAAGGAAAAAATATATTCTGAATCCTAGAAGCCAGAACAGTAAGAGCGATCTGGCTTCTGGGATAGCCGCGCGCAGCCTCTCCCGGGAAGTGGGATGAAGTCTCCTCCTGCCCAAAGAGGCTGCGCGCAGCTAAGGCAGAAGCCAGGAGAGGCGCTTTGCTGAAGGGGCACTGCGCAGCTCTCCATTTCTGCGCAATGCCATTCGCTCCATAACACACACTCACATTTCCCCTTACTTTTTAGGAGGAAAAAAGTGCATCTTATGGAGCGAAAAATACGGTATTTGTCCTGTATCCAGGTGGAAATCAGTCTAGCAAATACATTGGGTATTTATGGTTATTGTTGCTACTCTTAGTCTGTAAAAGTTATGTCAGCGATGACATTTATCCCCATTTGCATTCCTTTTAATTGAAATGAATGGGGTGGGATAGCACAATGGCAATGAATTTTGCTGCAGTGGGCAGCAGAAGGCAAACTGCAGTGGAAAAGAAACAGGGCCGCATAGCTGGTATTCTGTCGGTGTACAGGGGCTTCCACCAAACCCTATGAACCCTTAGCCAGTGGAATTTGAGAATAGGATTGTGCCCCAACTAAAGCTTTTTGGACTGTGATAACCCAGTACATGAAATCAACCCATCTTGCTGCTTCTTTCTATCGAGGTCTTACAAGTCTTTGGAAAAGAGAGGCGGTTGCGAGGAAACAGATGGAGCAGAATACACGACGGAAGGCGAGAAACAGCAAACTGGGAGGGTAATTTGAAATGTATATAATTTATGTATATAAATGAATAGTTGTGTATAATAACACAGTTTTCTATCACAACTCTCTAGGAAGAGGGATTGATTGTTAGGCCACTCTGAGAAACATAGCTCTGGGCGGGGAACGGCGGGGGTCTCCTCTCAGCACCCTTAACAAACTACAGCTCCCAGGATTCTCTGGGAGAAGCCATGGCTGTCTGAAGTGGCATCGTAGTTTTTTTTAATGTGTGATGTCGATGTGTCCATAAAAGGCAGCTTCCTGTTTTCCTAGCTTAGCCAACCTGAGCTTTTTTATCCCATTTGTCTCTCTAGGCGAAGACTTCAGTCTACCTGACCTACCTGAGAGTGGCGGGGTCTTTCCTCTGGGCTTACATTCTAATTTTGTTTATCTGCCAACAAGCTGCATCCTTTTGCCAAGGTTACTGGCTCAGCCTGTGGGCCAACGACCCCGTTTACAACGGAACGCAGCCGCATACCGAGCTCCGAATCGGCGTTTACTTTTTCCTTGGATTCGCCCAAGGTTTGTTCAGCCCTGCAGTCTCCCTGGGTCCTTTCTGCAAATTCCTTGTGGCCCTTGAGGCTGCACTACTCAGCCCCTGAGACTTTTCCCAGGTCACTTCCCTCTTTCTCTGGTTATCAATGTCTCTGGTGTAATTTGATTGTTTTCTTTCATAGTATTTTGCTTTAATCTGCTATTGTGAGTGAAATATACTCAGAGTCCTGTAGTGATTTCATGCTCTCTATTGCGGCTTGTAAAACAGTGATTGAATTGCCCCCCAAACCTCAGGCTTTTATATACATTATTTACACAATGAGTCCTGTCTGATTGGCTGATTCTGCTTCCCCCCTGGAGCCTGATTGGTCTTTTCTAGCAGGCCAATCAGTTGTTGCATTCTAGGATCCTACCAGCCTAATAAGCTGATTAACTTCCTCCTGGAGCCTGATTGGTCCATTCCTGCCAGCCAATCAGTTGTTGCATTCTAGGATCCTACTTGCCTACTGTTCTAGGATCCAAGCTTAGTACATAACAGTGAGCTAACTAGGAAGGCCCTCATTATCTTACCTATCTAGTTAACCAGCCCAGGCCATCTTAATATTGATAATAAAAGAAAGTATCTCTCATCTATTATTATCAATTTATTTATCCCCTTTGTATACAGTGGTACCTTGGGTTAAGTACTTAATTCGTTCCGGAGGTCCGTTCTTAACCTGAAACTGTTCTTAACCTGAAGCACCACTTTAGCTAATGGGGCCTCCTGCTGCCACCGCGCCGCCAGAGCACGATTTCTGTTCTCATCCTGAAGCAAAGTTCTTAACCTGAAGCACTATTTCTGGGTTAGCGGAGTGTGTAACCTGAAGCGTATGTAACCTGAGGTACCACTGTACTGCCTTTTCTTCCAAGGAGCTCAAGGTGGTGTGTGTGGTTTTCACTGCCTCATAGAATCATAGAAGAGCTGGAAGGAGCCACAAGGATCATCTAATCCAAGCGCCTGCCATGAGAAATCTTTCACCCAATGTGGGGCTTGAACCCACGACCCTGGGCTTGAGAGTCTCATGCTCTACCAACTGAGCTATCCCTCAGGTGTAAAACACAGTACCTCTCTGTCTCATACAGCCCTGTTTCACCCTCACAACAACCCTGTGAGGTAGGTTGGGCTGAGAGACGACGACTGGCCCAAGGTCACCCCACTAAGCTACATAGCTGAGCAGGGATTCGAACCCTGGCCTCCCAGGCCATAGTTCAACACTCTTAACCGTTACGCCACACTGGCTCTCTTGCATTGCAGCCGTTGGGAAGTTTGGATCGATAGCCTCCGTCTTCTTGGCCGGGACGGTGGCCTCCCACGAGCTCTTCCGGAGGCTCCTACACGATGTCCTCCGGTTGCCGATGTCGTTCTTTGAACGGACGCCTAGCGGCGAGCTGCTCAACCGCTTCTCCAAAGAAATGGACGCCATTGATTCCATCATCCCAGACAAGCTGAAGTCGTTGCTGGGGTTTCTCTTCATTCTGCTAGAGATCTACGTGGTTATCGTCATGGCCACTCCGATAGCCGTGGTGGCTATAGTCCCCCTGACAGCCTTGTATGCTGTGTTCCAGGTACACATTAGCTCCCTCTGCCATGTTTGTGGGCCAGTTCATTGTTGTAATTAGGGGTGAATGTGCAACCTGCTCTCCTCATTAAAATACTATTATTTTACTTATACCCCACCTCTTACCCAGAACCAGGACTCAAGGCAGTGTACAAAAATTAAAACAAACACAGGAAAAACAGAAAGCTTTAAAAAAACCACCCAT